CACTGGAGTACACTGCTGGACAAGCCCACTAAAAATATAAAGCACCAGCTAAAAATAGTTTTACTCCATTAAATATCTGTACAAGAAGAGTGTAAAATGAGCTGGAACTTCTTGCTTATCGGTGCTTTTCGGCAACACTTCTGATGTGCTATAGGTTCGCTTTCTACTGTTCACTACTCAATGCCAGAGACCCTCTTGCTAGCATGGCATGGAGCGTCTTCTGACCAAAGAGTCTCTTCACTTCCCTCTGGTGGAGTACAGAGCTCAGACATCTCATAGTTAATCATGAGAATGTAGAGCATTAGAGAAGAGGCTAATTTGCATATCATCACTGTCCAAAGAAAAAAATGTATCTCCATTTTTGTCAATTTTTATTTTTCTACATCATTTCAACACACCAGCTATCCTTTATGGTGTGTGTGAATTTCATGATGATTGGTCAAATAGAAATGCTCCAAAATCACTTGGAATAAAACATCTTTACTTTAACTTACATTCAAAGGTAAGAGTGTTTTCGCTCTCTCCTGTAAACATACTATTTTGGAGATACTTGTTTTTATTTGGACAGCGACGATATAAAAATCCTATCTTAACATTTAATTTTTAATTAATTTTAAAATTAATTTTTTACACTTTCATGACTATGCAAAGATTCTGACCCATCCCTAACTTCATCCATGCTCTCCAAGAGACAGTGCGATGCACAGCAATGTGAAGAAATCACAGATGAGTGCGCAAAATTATAGAGAAAGACTTGGTGAATGTCTACTGTGGTACACTGAAAGCTAGCCCTGGTCATGGCATATGAACATTTTAACTTGGCACAGAAATGAGTGGTAAATATAACTTCAGAACTTTAGAATATACAACTTTCAGTAGCCCATTATTATGTATTCCAATAATTTTATAAAGTTTTTGGCCACAAAATTATGAATATATAGCTTTCAGGCCCTCGGATAATACAGAATTCAGTTAATGTCCGTGTTCATTAATGTGCATATATCAAATATTTCACAATGGCTTAGAACGCAGGTTAGCCAATCAGCTTTTACATCTAGAAATGCATACATTATTAAAGAAAATAACAAAACAACCAAAACAGATTTAGACAATTACAGAGTCTTTAAACACCAAAAACAAGTGTCTAGTAACTGCAGAAACTGCATAGTAGATGTCAGTCCTTTATTCATTTACTGTCTTTTTCTGCCTGTTCCTTTGTAAATAGTTTATTTTTGCAAATGATAGAAAATGTTACATGTATAGTTTCTCTTAGCACAGCTCCGCTGTTTTACTGGAGCATTTTGTACCTTACAGCCTGTTTGCAAACATAAAAATAAACATTGTGATACTGATGGTGTCTCATGAAAATCTCAAGTATCATGATATTATATCTTTTCCTTATCGCTCAGCCTAAGGTTTCTCAATTGCAAGTGACTGGTCAATCCTTTCCTTGCACAAACAGCCAAAGCACTTCTTTGATTAGAGTTCATTTGGTGCTTATAGGCTCTGGGACATCTCTGATTTAAATGCCTTTAAATTGGCTACTTCATTCCTTCCTCCGTGGCTCCAGTCTCACTTTAGAGCGCTTCGCCTCCGGTTGAGACTGCTTTAAAGTGGGTGCCCTCTCCTAATGACATCCCATACTTTATTTATGAGACAAACAGTGTGGTAAATAGCTCTGCATGTCCAGAGTGCACTCTCAATATTTCTCAAAGGGCCTGGAGAGCTCCTGACACACCACAGTTGGACTTAACACACCAAAAATACCCCCCCACACCCCCCACCACTCCTTTATCACCATCATAAACACACTCTCACAGAGCCTGCTTACTGGCACTGTTTAGGAGCACTCAATAAAGCTTGATTCAAGCACTGTTTTTATAAAAAAAAATCAGGGGCAGTAAAGATACAAAAGAAAACCTTAAATATTTTGTTTTAATAGATAGTAATTTGGCAATAGTTGATAAAAGCTGGTGTACAAAATTTACAGTGTTGGCTTATCATCATTTACATTATTGACAGACCAACCACACGCTTGTAAGAATTCAAAGTGCTTTTTCTTATACTTGTACATAAAACATGCACATAGTAGAAAATGTATTTTAAACACCACACAATGTGTAATTAAATCAATAATAAGGAGCTGGGGTGTCTTCAGGGTGCACTAGCCTCAGCCCTTACTGGAATGCTGTTTTAAGTGCTTTGAATAATTTCTACAAGAAAAGTGGACCATTCTTCAAGACCTGACCCACTATCATACTGAACAGCTGAAGGCAGGCTCGTTTTTAGCTTTCTTAAAAAGAGCAGAAGACAACTCATCAGATCATGTTCACTTTTTGACTGCTCTAAGGTCTAAATGCTCACAACACAAGGCCAAGAGTACATATTTCTGAGACATAATTGCTTATATCATATGTATATACTGAGATGTTTTTAACAGAAATCCTGAGGAAATGTTCACTGTAGTTGAACTCATTTGACACACACTTATCCTTTTAACCATTAACCAGCAAAACTGTCGGACAAATACCAAAGCCAACAGAGATACTGTTTGCATATAATCTAACCCGTATATAAAGATATGGAGACTGTAGAAGCAGAACAAAAATAAATCTAGAAGTAGGTTTGAGTCGTTCTGTTGTATGTGCATTAACACTAGTGACTGATTGATATCGTTAATAAAATAAAATCAACCAATACTATGGATCCCCTATTTTCGGCAGACATCACAGATAATGTTGACAAATGTTCTGTTTAAAAATGTTTGTGATAAAATGCTATTGGTTATATATAACAATGTTCTAACATGAAACATCTGGTTTCATAGTTGCAGTACTGTGTGATAGTCATAGGCCATTTTTTCTTTCATTTAATTTCCAGTCAAACAGCCATTATGTAAGAGTTGCTCATTTTTGGCATAAGAAAAAAAATCTGAAAACATATTTAACAGAAAATGACACAGAAGCCTGAACAATTAAAATAATATCAGATTTTTCAGTATTTGGTGTGTCCACCCTTTGCCTTTATTACAGCTTCTGCTCTTTCCGAGAGACTTTATTATAGTTTTAAAGAAATCTGCAGCCTTCCAATGTTCAGTCAACAATAACCTCAATACTGTGAGAGCTATGTAGCTTACCTGTTTTAAAGAAAAATTTTAAGTTCTAAGGTTATTTGTAAGTGCCTGGTTTTATGTTTACATCATGTATTGGTGAGTTTCAGCTGTGTATTTGAGTTTGATCAAGTGAATCAGCTTTGACAATAAGCAAAAAACAAGCACATGCTTGTTTTTTTGTGAACTGTCAAGTCTGATTCACTCCCTACTACACATTCTACACTTCTTACTATACTGTTTGACTATGACTAAAGCTAATTTGCTTAATTGTTGATCATATTAAATTATATCAGATAATTAGCTCAGTATCAGTTTGAATCTTTCACTCCCTAAAATTGTTTTTTATGACCAAGATAGAAGGATTGTGTTAACTAGGGTCAGACCCTAGTTAACACAATCCTTCAGGAGGCTCAGTCTCCACTGTGAGCCACAGAGGCAGAGGGTCAGTCTTACTCCCTGTACAAAGACTCCACCACTATTTGACCGCACACAGTGCCCTGTATGCGTCGTCTTTGTGCTGGATGGAGCACGTTTGTTCTGCTCACCTCTCTGCTGTCTCAGCCTGCCTTGCGTCGATCCGATTTTGGTTTTGGGGGGTACCTGCAGCTGAGCTTCAGAGAGCAGCAGGTGTGTGTGTGGGGGGCTCCGGGTTTGAGCGTCAGGGTGAGAAGGTCGGGGATTAGCGGCTCTTCACAGGCTGGGCCGCCACTGCTCCACTATGCTGCGGTTAGCACAGAGCAGGGCTGGGCAAACACGCATTGTTCAGTGCTCGCAGCACACACAGCAAGGGCAGAGCAGACACAGGACCCTACGGGTCGCGAGGACACAGAAGCAGTCCTTTAAAGGGGAAGGAGCCCCACACAGGAGATCTGATACTGCTAGTGAAGCGTGCGGTCCACCGCTTTGGTACGGACCAGTCGGCCGGCGGAGACTCAAACAGACGCACAAAAGTAAAAGACTGAATAGGAGCAGAACAAAGGGCCTTCGCATCGTGCACTGAAAAAGCCAAAATATTATGCAAGGCAAGAGAAAAAGAGAAGGGGGGAAAGAAAAATCATCCTGCACGAGCATGGGACGATCTGAAACAAATGAAACTAAATTTTTAAGCAGGGGATGCAGATTGTATTTATGAATTTGTGAGTTCTGCTCATGAAACATCAAACGCCCGTGGTCTGTGCAACCCTTTCTCGGCTTGAATTATTAACTCTGTCGATGTCGCACATGAGCCACTCTGCCATTATAGTGTAAATTAACAAACTTTTCAAAACTACAGCGGAAGCCAAAGAAAGCCAGTTGCTTCTTGAAGAAGGAGCTTTGATACGTCTCCAAGGAATACACTCTGCCTCAATAACACGGTGACAGTCAGCATGAGGGGGGGAAGGAAAAAATATGCCTACAGATTTAATCTATTTCAGATCTAAATGAGCTCATTTTCTTATATTTAAAGATGAAACCTAACCCTAAGATAGGCATATGATTCAGATGGTGTTGAGGATGTTTTATTTAGAAACTGGTTTATTAAAAGATCCCGGTCTTTGTTTTGTTTTATGAAACCGTGAAATCGTTAAGGAACACTGACGTTGTTTATTTCTGTATACTCCTCCCCCTCCCCAACATCTTTTCGAGCCATAATAAAAACTCTATCACTCGCTCTCCCTCTCGTGCACACATCCATGGATGGGTGCATGGAAAATAAGGCTGTGTTTTTTTGTGTGCACCTAACGTGCAGCTCCTGCTCTTCTTCCTCTCTACACCTCTCTCTCCCTCGCCTGCCTTTGATGTGCTCCTGAAAATGTCACCAGTCGTCAAGGCCTTTTTTTCCCTTCTCTAACACGCATGCGAGCCAGACAATTTGCTGTCGCTCACCCCCCCTACCCTCAATGCCTACCAGTTTCCACAGCTATCTGGTAGCCAGCCTCCAGTCTCCGAGATGACCTTTCCAGCCTCTCTGTGTTGTCCAACAGATGTGCTCTCTGAAACAAACCAAGCAAAAAGAGAACACAATGAGAGAAGGAGAGCGACTGAAAGAGCTAGCAGACAATTTAGACAGACGTTTCACCACATTGTCGACGCATGATAAGCATGCTTTGCTATGAATGCATGTCAGTCGCTCACATTTACATCAAGAATTGGACAGAATTGCATTACAGACAGCTTTTTACATTACAAATTGGGCTGAATCTATGGCTGAATTAAATGCTAAAAAGGATGAGGTACCGAGCAAACACCTTTCTCTTTTTTAATTGAGGTTCGTAGCTTTGTTCTGTAGGTGTTCATCGTTACAGGATCTCATTACCTCACACTGAGCACTGGGGCAAAGTTTAGCATGGGAGGAAAGGCTAATTGAGCTGTAATAAATTAGCACTTGCAGTTTCAGATTAGCTAATTTCCGTATGTTGCACACATTTGGGGTGCCTCGGTAAACCTTCTCATGTGCAAACATATCTCCTAATCCTGGCACTTGAGGCATGGAATTGTACACTCTCTAAAAGATCTAACATCTGCTAAATCCAGCAGGGACTTCTCAGAGTTTGGACCACACAGCATACAGTAAATAAAGGGAATTGCAAACAGTAGTAGTAGGCGGCCCTGGCATTAAGGTCACAAAGCCAGAGTTAGTTTATGATGCTTAACCCCATTTTATAAAGCCTGACTCCCGCTCACTTTCCACCAAACATGTTGAGTAATTCATAGGACCCAAATGAAAGATAAAAACACCGTAAATAATGCAAAAAGACAAGGCGTTTAAACTTTTGAAGGAAAGCAGCTTGACTTGATCTTATTTCAAAGCCCTATGCACCCTGGGCAAGGGTATAGATCTTCAAGCCCATGGTCATAAATGTGACATTAAAACCATGGTCAAGATAGACTGTTAATAGCGTACTCAGAGGACAACATTTATATGATTGAAATAGCGTTTAATATTTCATTCACCTCATATGCAACCTTAGTCCTACTGAAATGTGTTGATACCTAAAGAGGTGTTGGAGTGCATTACTATTTAATAGCATACAAAGTAGACTGCAGAAAATGCAATCAAAATAAACCCTACTGTAGGTAAGTGGGGAAAAAACACATTTGCAAAAAATTCCAGCTTGTTACCAAACACATCTATCCTTCCACAGAAGTGCCTCTTACAATCTTTCAGAAACAAAAAAGATCTCTACGCCTCACCGCAGACAGAAACAATATTGTCCATAGCATATCATACCAACAAACCCTTGTTTTATCCTCGGAATACATATTGGCCTGCCCTTCCAAAAAACAGTGCTAATGTTTAGTCCTGTTTACAGAAAGTGAAAGAAGAAAGGCTAAAAAGAAGCTCCAGTTCTAGTTAAGCTGTCAAAATATGTACCAGCTAATCACTCCGAGGAAATGAAATGAAAAATAGACGACATTCCACTTTTCAAAGTCTGACAATCAGAGAGAAGGGAGAGAGGGTGGAGGAAAAAAAAAAAAAGAAAAAAACTCGCTCTGAACTTTTTTTTTTCTTCTCCTCCCTTCGGTTGACAGATGTCATTTAAAATTGCAGAAATACTTTTTTTTTTTTTTAAATAGTTTAAGGGAGGGGGGTATGACAGTAGTAGCTGGAGAAAGGAGAAAGAGGGTGAGAGGGAGGAAGGGCGAACGAGAAAGAGGGAGAACGGGAGAGAGAGAGATTGAGAGTGAGAAGGAGAGAGAGGGAATAAAAGAGGGAGAGAGGGAGAGAGAGAGAGAGGGAGAGAGAGAGGGGAAGAGAAAGCAGGAGAAAGATTGGGGGTGGTGTGCGCGCATGGGGAAAAGGGAGCCAGCTCTGCCTAATGAGCCCCTCTGGATCAGCAGAGATGGAGGGGACGTATTGACATGCAACGCTTAAGCTAATACACCTAGACCATGGATGTGCCTGTGTGTGCCTGGGAGCACGAGGCAGCCGGGGATACTGACAGAGTCGCTTGCGCCCCCGTCTTCAAAGAGCTCAAGTGATTAGTATGTTATCATTACCATTCGAAACGTGATTTCCCTATTCCCTCTCGGCAAAGGTGACACGTCTTGGGGAGACGGCCAGCAGACTCACGCGCTGAAAAGCCACTTCAAAGCTTTTCCTTGAATTTCTTTCTCTCTCCCTCTCTCTCTCTCTCTCTCCTACTCTCTCGTTCATTCCCTCTCTCTCTCCTCTCTCTGGCTTTCTCTCTGTCTTTTCCAGGCGAGGTAGAGGGGTTTTGGGGCTGGGGGGAATGATGCTTTCCATTGTGGGGGGGGGGTCATTAGAATTACGCACTCAGGCTCGAAGCATTCAGCAACGGAGGTAAGGGTGAAGGTGGCCACACGGATGGAGTGACGACAGTATATTTGGAAGCAGGTACTTCCCTTCAAAACGCCCAAAGAAAAGAAAATCCAAGACTACCTGGAAGTGTAGAAAAAAGAAAAAGAGGAGGGACTAGAGTCTCAGTGTGCTCTCTCTCTACATTAACATGTCCTGTAGACATCAGCAATGTCGTAACTCATAACGTGTGAAAGTGGCAGGTCCTGGCTCCGAGCTATTCCGGAGTGCATACAAGAAATCATAGAGGTTAGCAGAGCACCAACAGGACAGGAAGACTTTTAATTACACAACATGCAGAGCCAAAAAAAAATACATATTAATAATAAAAAAAAGAATCGGATACTTATCACTCAACCACATACCCAGACAACTGACCTGAATAAAGAAAAAATGCTTTTCTGATTTACTCGCTTAGAGAGCACCGGGCTGTCAGCAAAATCGTCTCTCTTTTTTGGTCTTATGGAGTTCAACAGAAGCTCCTTTTAAAGAGCACATGATAAATATTGGTGTGTCTGTGAACGTGTCTGTGTGCGCCCCTTCCCATTTCTGCTTATGCATTTATGCCTTTTTATCTGACACCTACATTTTCTACAAAGACCTTCTAAGAAACTATAAATGTGATTTTTTTTCCCTTTCTTTTATTTTTTTGCTCTTGTTTTGTTTCTCTTTTTCACCAAGAATCGCACTTCAGTTGCGAGTTATTAACAGGGACCCAGGAACAATGCAGCCGCTGCTCAAAAGAATTCTCTTCCCTTCTCTCCCCCCTTTTTTCAATATCAAACACAGACGCTTACTATCACAATTTTCAAAAGTTCAGATGATTCCTTATTATTTCAATAAGAGGGGAGAGTCAAAGTGAATAATGATGACAGCTGTGATTCAGGCTGACTATGTGATCTTTTTCACGGTTTGTTTGGGACTTGTAAGACGAGGAATTACAAGTGTCAAACAGCTGTGAATATGGCTGCTAAATATTTAAACATGTTTTCCAGCTGAGGAAAAAGTATGGTTTTTAAAAGCGGGCTAAGTGTATATAAGCTATGCAGCCTTTTGATGAAAATTCAGGAAAATAGGAAGAAAAGGAGAGCTAGGTGAAATGTGCAGGGGAGAGAAAAAAAAAATCAAACCCAATTTAATAGGGCACTTCAATGTGGGGACATATGCAAGAAGACTGAAGGTGTCTTCTGACCCAAGGCCGATCTATACTCAAACCCATTTTGTGTGGTCATGTGAGAGAAAGCAGACAAACACACAAAAAATACAGAAATACAGAAAAACACAAGTCAAGGATAGCAAAGTCTGGAGAATTGTGAGGGGCTCTAAATTATGAATGCAGGAGGATGGAGTGGCTTTTGTAGAGATGGGATTATTCAGCTCTGGAAAGCAGAACTAAACAATCCTACAGAAGACATAGCCAAAAACAGACACACAAATACACAGGCTTGCATGCTCACTCACACACATACAAACACACACACACACACACACACACACACACACACACAAATATATATAAACAGAGGCTCGCTAGCTCACTAACTGTCTAACACATACACACAAAAACAAACCAAAAACAAAAAAGTCCACATAGCCTACAGAGATTCTCCAAAACAGAAGTACTGTTCAAATTCATGTGTAAGGTTTACTCACCCAACATGCTGCTTAGATGTGTTCGTGCTTTACTTCACTAATTTGGGTATAGTTTAAAGTTAGCTACACAATATCCTGGAACTGGATGCAGTTGGATTCTCTGAAGAGAATGCAACTGAATCTAAAACAGGTTTTAAAGGGCCTATATCCTATATTCTTCCTGTATCTGTTTTTCCCCTGAGGTTCACTTATAATGTGTGTGGTTTTATGCACCAAGAAAGAGCCACATTTAATTTTTACATGACCATTTGCCTTTTGCCATACTATGCCTTTAAGACTGACAGCTCTAAAGAAAATTTAACTGAATCTAAAACAGGTGTTTTAAAGGGCCTATATTCTTTATTCTTCCTGTATCTTTTATTCCCTTGAGGTTCACTTATAACATGTGTGGTTTTATGCACCAAATAAAAAAGACACATTTCATTTTTGCATGACCGTTTTCTAACATCTCTTGATGTATAAAATTAAACAGGCTGTTTTTGTTACTATGTCTTTAAGACTGACATATGAAAATGACTTGTATTGTGCCTCATTCACAATAAGCAGCCCAGGCTGAAACACTCCTTATAACTTCAGCGTGAATGGGAGGAGCTAAATTGTTATAGTCTGAATAGGTGGATGTACGCAAATGTGTATTTTTTATGACATCACAAAACAAATTAAAAACGGGCTGCTTTAGCAACTTTGTTTCCATATATGCACTGAATAAACTGGAGAGTAAATGGGATGCTTTTAAACTTCAACAAGAAAGAAATTTAAGAAAGTAATATTTTTCCATAATGTGGACCATTTAACATTCTACTGTTTCAATAGTGGTCAGATATGGTTCAGTTCTGACAAATAAAATACGTTTTCTTTAATACCTTATGCATTTTTAATAGAGTCGAGGGATCAGTAAATTTGCATCATAAACACTGCAATCTCTGAAGATAAGCAATCGCTAGCTAAACACTTTTATGAGGGCTGGGAGGGACGGGATGCGCCATCCACTCCGTCGCAAAGTATGGAAGACGACAAGCT